GGATCTTGGCCTGGGAGCACAGTGGCACCTTCTCTGGGGGCACAAGGCGGATGTAGAAGATACTGGGCAGGATGAAGATGAGGCTGGGGGGCCAATGTCACCCCTGGGGGGACACAGGAAGAGGTGGGGGTGAGATGTTCCCAGCTTTGGGCTGGGGCTAGTGGGAGGATGACAGCCAAGTATAAGAAGGGCCAGGGAGGGATGAGATGCAGTCAGCTCTGAAGCAGGGTGGGGTGGGAGGCAATGTATAACAGACTAAGATGTGACCAGCTCTGGGGCGGACTGGGGAACAGCTGAGTATAACAGGCTGAGATGCAGTCAGCTGCCATGCCAACTAGGGTGTGGTAGCCAGAGAATGTCTGAGTATAATACCAACCAGGAAGGGCTCAGATGTGCCCAGTTCTGGGGTGGAACAGTCAGGAAAGGGCCAAGAAGCCAGGATGCAGCCAGCTCTGGGGTAGGATGGTTGGTGAATGGCTGAGTATACCACTGCCTAGAAAGGGCTCAGATGCACCTATGTCTTGAGTAGGGGTGGTTGGGTATAACACTGTCCAGGCAGAGCTGAAATGCAACCAGATCTGGGATGGAGCCATCAAATGGCTGAATATAATGGGGTGGGACACAACATGTTGTGATATAGCTAAGTATATCAGGCCAGAATGTGGCCAGTTCTGGGGTGGGACAGAAGAGAATAAAACCCCACAGTGGGGGCTGAAATGCACCCAGTTCTGGGGTGGAATGGCAGAGTATAATGCACCCCCACAACCTACCAATGATGCCAAAAATGTCATGGATGTTGGGAACGAAGATGACAAGCAGGTTGACAGCTGCCAGCAGGGCCACAGCCATGGCCACATGGCGCCCCCAGCTGAAACCCCACTGTGGGAACAGCAGCTGCAGCACAGCCAGACTGATTTGTGGGGGGAAGGGGGGGGGGGGGGGGGGGGGGGAGGGAGGTGGATCAGTGAGGCAGCCAGCTCTTGTGGGGAACAGGTAGGTATAACAGACCAAGATGTGGCCAACTCTGGAGTTAGAAATGTCTGGATTAAACAGGCTGGGATGCAGCCAGCTCTGGGGTGGATTGTGGGGAGGGAATGGCTGGGCATAACAGACCAAGATGCATCCATCTCTGGGGGTGGAATGGGGGGGGGGTAACAGCTAGGTATAAAGGGACAGAATGCAGTCAGCTCTGGGGGGAAATGGCTGGGTAGTACAAGCTGGGATGTACCCAGCTCAGGGGTGGATTGAGGTGGGAAATGTCTGGGTTATGCCCAGCTCTGGGTGGAGGGACAGCGGGATATAATGGGCTGAGATGCAGCCAACTCTGGGGTGGACTGGAGGGGGAACAGCCAAGTATAACAGACCAATATGCAGTCAGATCTGGGGAGGGTTAACACTGGGTGTAACAGGCCAGTTTGCAGCCAGCTCTGGGGGAAATCGCTGGGTAGAACAAGCTGGGATGCAGCCAGTTTTGGTGGGGCACAGCTGGGTAGAATGGGCTGGGATGTGCCCAGTTCTAAGGACACACCGTGAAGAGCACAACTGGCAGTGTGAGGATGACAGCCAGCAGCACGATTAGGCGCACGCTCAACACCAGCCAGTCCCCAGGCTCCACATGCTGGTAGTTCTGCAGCAGCTATGGCTCCACTGCCCCTGCGCAGACACATGGACACACACATTACCTGGACACCTGGGTCCTTTCTGCTTCCCTCCCTTCTCTGGCCTGCCCCTGTTGTGGGAGGGGGTGTATGTTTGTGTGTGCCCTGGAAACCTGATGAGGGGGTACCATAAAAGGTGAGGTAGTCAAAGGTGGCCATGAGCAAGCACATAATGAGCATGGCCAGGATGGAGATATTGGCCACCCGCTGCATCCCCTGCTGTGACGGCCTGGGGGGATGACAGTATCAGAACTCAGGCATCTGGGCTCCTAGACCCCATGGTCCAATCCAGCCCCCACCCTCCTTCTAGAGAACCCAGGTGTTCAGGCCTCCCTGTGCTGACCTGTGCAGCTCAGTGTAGATGGGCAGGACCTCAGGGTGGCAGACAAAGGTGAAGGCAAGGATGGTGGTGGTGTAGGCTGTCTGTGGGGAGCAAAGGGGTAAAGGGAGAACCCAGCTGGCCATCCCCGCCCCCACACACCTCTGGCTTGACCTCACCAGTCCTAGAACTGGGAGAGGACTCAGGCATTCTCCCCCCCCTACCACAGAACCCAGGAGTCTGGGCCTCCTTCTCCAATTCCCCCACCCCAGAGCCAACAACCTAGGTGTCTGGGATCCTAGGCCCCCCTACTCTCACCTGTTGCTTCCCCACCCGCCCCAGAGAACCCAGGCATCCCGGCTCCCAGCCCCACCTGTTCCCACCCACCCATCTACCCTCCCCACAGGGAACACAGGCATTCAGCTGACCTCAGAGCGCAGCGTGAGGTACTGGGGTGTGCAGGCCGGGCTGGGGGGCACCAGGGGCCCATTGAGGGGACAGTCATTCTGAAACTTCTTGTAGATCACCTGTGGGGACAAGGCAATTACAGCCCCAAGTGTCCCCCCCCAGAGGTGGGCATCTTCCAGCCTTTTGTGGTGGTGGTGGGGGTTTACAGGGAGGGGCTATAATTGCCCCCCCCCCCAGTAATTGAGGGGGAGCGGGGGCAGGACTCACCAAGCAGAGAAAGAAAACCATGCAAGTGAGAGAGAGGCCAGAGGTGCAGCCCAGGTACCCGGGGGGGGGTGGGGGGGGGGTGTTAAGGGAGAGAATGAGAAAAGTCCCAGGTGTCCCAGAAAAGTCTTTCATCCCCATGAAAGAACCCAGGTATCTGTCCCCCCAACCCCACCTCCCACTTACACACAGAGGAAACCCAGATGTCCATCTCCCCCGCCCCGTGCACATAAGGATCCCAGGCTACAAACACACACACACACACACACACGAAACCCAGCTGTCTGAGACCCCCATCCCCCAAACACACACAAAGGGAACCCAGGGGTCTGGGCCCCCCCCACACACTCCCCGCCATGGGGAACCCAGGTGTCCAGGCCATACTCACCCGGGTGCCTCATGAGCACAAGGGGCAAGACAATGCTGGTGATGATACCCACGATGAGCACATTCCCATCCAGGTACCAGGCCCTGTGGGGGCAGCATCAGCCAGACACTGCCCAGCCCTCCCCACCCCCTGGTCTACAGGGTGCCCAGGAGCTGGGATGCACCTAGCTCTGCAGGGAAGGGTGGGGGCGGGGTATAACAAGGCAGGATGCAGCCAGCTCAGGGGGGAATGGCTCAGAAGAACAGGCCATGATGCACCCAACTCTGGGATGGAACAGCTGGATATAACAGACCATGATACACCCAGCTCTTGGCAGAACAGTTGTAACAGGCTGGGTTGCGCCTAGCTCTGGGGTGGATTGTGGGTGGGAGAAACAGCTGAGTACAACTGGCTGGGATGCAACCAGGTCTTGGATGGGGAGCAGCTAGGGAATGGCTGTCACAAGCCAGGATGTATCTAGTTCCAGGATGGACCAGCTGGATATAGCAGGCCACTATGCAGCCAGCTCTGGGGTGGAATGGCTGAGTAGAACAGGCTGAGTTGCAGCCAGGTCTTGTGGGGGAGCAGCTGGGGAATGTCCGAGTGTAAAGGAAAAGATGCAGCCAGCTCTAGGGGAGAACAGCTGAGTATAACAGGCCAAGGTATAGCTAGCTCCAGGGGGAAGCAGGGGTGGGGGGAATGGCTGGGTATAGCAGGCTGGGATTTACCCAGCTCTGGGGTTTGGGGAATGGCTGGGTATAAAGGGCTAGGTATAATGTGTTCAGCTCTGGCGAGGAAATGGCTGGGATGCCACCAGTTGGAGGGGTGGGGGGCAGGTGAGTGTAGCAGGCCAGGAAGGGGTTCAGGGGTGAGAGCAGGGAGGGCTGGGAACCCAGATGCCTGGGTTCTCACTCACCCCGTGTCCTCACTCAGGTCCAGGAAGGTCTGGATGACGGAGGGGCAGCTTGTACTTGGTGGTGTACAGGTAGCTTGACATGGTTGGGGAGGAGTGGGGGAAAAGATGCCTGGGTTACTTCCCAGCCCAGATACCTGGGTTCTCTGGAAGGGGCTTGGTGAAGGGAGAGGGACCCAGACACATGGGTTCCCTGGGTAGGGTCTGGGTGAGGGGAGGAGGTCCTGGATGCCTGGGTTCTCTGGGAGGGGAGTGGTGAGAGCTGGGGGTCTGGGAGCCAGGATGCCTGGGTTCTCTGGGTGAAGGCTAGGTGAGAGGCACTGAAGGATCTGGATGCAAAAGCTGGGCTGGGGTGGGTGGGAGGTCTCCCAGCTTATGGGTCCCTTACCTCCAAGGTTGTGCACAGAGACAATAACTGCAGCTAGCACCTTGCCCCCAGGGCCAAAGGCACGGAGCCCCAGCTGCTCATAGGCCCAGATACCTGGGGAAGGTTAGGGTTCAGGGGATCAAAGGTCAGAATCTGTCTCCCCTGCTTCCCTCATGATCCCAGCGCAGGTCAGCAGCAGGTGTACGGAGTAGGACAAGACGACAGCAATGGCGACCAGCAGCACCCTGTTGGGGAGAACTTTGGGACCCAGGTGTCCAGGCTCCCAACTTCAGCCCCACCCCCTCCTGAAGAACCCAGGCATCCAGGCTCTTAGCCCCTTCTCCCCCAGCCAGCAGCAAGGCATGCTGGAATATCAGTGGACTCTAACCTCTGCCTAAGGCTTTGTTTGTGTTTCTTGGGGAAGTGACCCCTGGTGTTGTGAGCTTGCCTGGACCTCCGCAACAGTGCCCTGGTTTTGCCCCCAAGGCTGCAAGCTTCCCCCCAGCTGTGTCCTGACCCCCAAGGCTGAGAGATTCCCCAGAAGCAGTGCCCTGACCCCACCCCCAGCTCATGTGAAGAGGACCAGCCCAGTGTTGCTCATGGCATAGGCCATGCCTAGGATGCTGCTACCCGTGATGGTATTGCTCAGGTTGAAGACAGATGCCTGGAATGAGGCCTTCCCTTCTGCCTGGGTGGGCCAGAGTCAGAGGTGAAATGGCAGAGAGCAGAGGTCAAAGGGGAGGAGGGAAACCAGGGCCCACAGGTCAAAGGTCAAATGGAAATCAGAGAAGTGGGGAGAAGATGGCGCTGCTCACTCAGGTCAAAAGTCAGAGGGAAAAGGTAGGGGTCTCCCTCCCCCACTGGTCAAAAGTTCAAGGGGAAGTCTAGCAATGGGGTTGAAAAGCCACCCCCTAGGTCAAAGGCCAGAGGTCAAGGGGTGGACAGGGGCAGGGATCACCCTCCACGGTTTAAGGGGAAGCACAGGCAGGGGGCTAAGAGGCCGCCCCCTACACCCTGGTCAAAGGGCAGAGGTCAGGGGTGAATGGGAGCAAATGATCAATTGCCCCAGAGATTGAAGGTTAAACAGAAACCATGGCATTGGGGTTAGGGCACCCTTCATCCATGGAGCTCAAAGGGCAGAGGTCATTGAGTCACCTTCCCCAGAGGTCAAAGGTTATATGGAAACTGTGGTGGTGGGGAGGGGGCCACCCAGGCAAACCAAGCAGCAGAGGTAAAGGTCAGAGAGCAAAGGCTGGGCTGAGGGGGGAGGTCAAAGCAGAGGAGGGGCTTGAAGCCCCTGCAGGATTGGGGCAGGAATGAGTCCCAGACACCTGGGTCCCCACTTACCTCAGAGAAGGGGTTCATCTTGGGGGCAACACCAGGGGGCAGGAACCCGACACACTCCTCCCTGCAGGGTCATGGGGTCAACCAGATGCCTGGAATCTTGGGGGCGGGGGGGGCAATGGATGGGGGACTAGGG